TGGGCCTTTAGTTTTGTCAACAAGTCTCTGCCTAATAAGGGGGTAGGGCACTCTGGAATTACCAAAAATGAGTGGGACACTTGGCTCTTCCCAAGATCTACCTTCCGGGAGGTAGTCCAAGGGTACTGTTTTTGTCCTGTGGCCCCAATTACCAGAGATCATTTGTTCTTTACTTTTCCCAGAGGCTTTTTTAGTACTGAGTATTCTGCTCCTGTATCAACTAAGAAGTTCATGGGGGTCCCCTCCACTCTCAAAGTTACCCTAGGCTCGGGGAGGGGGGCCGAGCCCCATCCCCTCTAATCTTCATCCTCATCTTCCAAGGACATTACTCTTGCCCCTGGCTTTCTAGGACATTCTTGAGCCCAGTGGCCCTTCTCCTTGCAGTATGCACACTGGTCTTTTTCTATTGGTGGCCGGTCCATCTTCCTGGGTCTCCTTGGCCCCTGCCTTTGTTTGTCACCCAGGTTCCCTAGCTGTCTAACCTTGGCTCTCCTCTCTTCCCCTACTACTGTGGCCAGTATTTGTGTCAAATTCTTTTCCTGCCTCTTTTCCCTTCTATCTTCATCTTCTCTCCTTTCTTTCTTTTCCCTTTCCTTCCTCCCTTCCTCTGTCTCTCTCTTATGATAAACTTTCTCTGCCTCTTTTACTACATCTCTAATAGTATAATCCTGTAGCCCTTCAATGCATTGCAATTTCTTTCTAACATCAGGGGCAGACTGCCCAATGAAAGCCATGATTACAGAAGCTTGTTGTCCTTCTGACATGGGCTCAAAAGGGGTGTATCTCCTATAGGCCTCCATGAGTCTTTCTAAGAACACTGAGGGGGGTTCATCCACTCCCTGCATGACCTCTCTTACCTTAGTCAAATTGGTGGGCCTTCTCGCAGCCCCTCTGAGACCCGCCACCAGAGCCCGGCGATACGTGGACAACCTTTCCCTACCTTCCGCCATGTGGTAATCCCAGTTGGGACAAGTCAGTGGAAATCTCTGGTTTATTACAGCCTCATCTAGGGTCAGGTGCCCCTCATCATCGGATATTTTTCCGAGCTTCAGAGACTATCCTCTCTTTCTCTTCAGTAGTAAATAGGGTCTGTAGGAGCTGTTGGCAGTCGTCCCAGGTGGGTTGATGGGAAAACATCAGAGACTCTACCAGTCCTGTAAGTCCAGCAGGATCCTGAGAAAAGGAGAGATGGTTAGCTTTCCAATTATAAAGGTCAGAGGAAGAGAAGGGCCAATACTGTAGTAGCTGTAATTGATTTGGGTTAGTTGGAGAGTGTCCAACGGCCCTGAGAGGCAGGGCCACCGTGGAGTTGGGATCTGAGACAGAAATAGCTTCTCTTCTGCTCCTCGTCCCCGCCGAGGGCCCACTGCCAATTGTCTCCGTGATGGGGGTGAGGGGTGCAGAAGACGTGGGCATGGGCTGGGGTTGGGGTACCGGTGGAGGTGGATAAGGTGGGGGTACGGGAGCTAGCCATTCTGCAGGAGGAGGGGGCCACTCAGGGGGTTCCTCAATCTCGGGGTATATCTTAGGAGGGGGCTTTGGCGGAGCGTTGGTCTCTTCATCTTTCCGTGGTTTTGATTTCTTCTCCACCACTTCTCAAACAGTCAGGACTCGGGAGCTGGGCCGATGAGAGTCCCGTGGCTTTACCCATGAGGGCGGGTAGCGGGCTAAATCTTCCCACACAGTAATCTAGGGCTGCTGGTCTGGATGCGATCCCAATCCCTCCTGAAACACAATTGCCTTAACGGCTCTGGTGTTAGACAAATTAAATGTCCCCTCAGGGGGCTATCCCACGTTAAAGGTAGGCCATTCTGCGGAGCAAAATGTCTGCCAGCGTCCCTTCTTAACAGTCTCTGACAAATCTTGTCCTCTATCCCTAATGTCAGCCCAATGATCTAAAGTCAGGGATAATGGTGTCATCACAGTTTGTTCCATTTCAAAACTTTACAGACTTATAACAAAAATGTAAACACACAAGACTAACGCAGTCAGACACACTCATCCGCGTCTGGTTTTATAGAACCAACCAAACGTGACCTCCGTTGGGGAAGGATTCCACGTCTTCCCCCCAAGCAAGAGCACTCCGTCTCCTTCATTCCGAAACAGGGCAATCGGGCTTCCCTGATTCCCTTCCGCCCTTGAAGCATCCTCCAGGGCTGCAGCCTGTGGGCCTTAGCACGTCTGCCTCCGCAGCCACTGAGTCCTTACCTTCTACAGTGGCAGCTGCTCAGAAACTGAAACCAAAACACAGAGACAAGAAGAACAGCGACACCGCACTCAGACACATACCATTCATACAGATCTACCTCCAAGGGGTCTTTGGGTGGTCGCACAAATCCCAGACGAGCCCCCACATGAAAGGACCCCTGAAGAGGACCCCCACTCAAGTCCCAATCAGTGCGCACCCAAGGAGACACAAGAGACCGACTTGATGCAATTAGCAAAAGGCAGTTTACTGGCAAGGGTCCCTCAGGTCGAAACACATCCCACGAAGGGGATAGAATCGACCCAGACCCCCCAAAAGCTCGGGGCTTTTATAGGAAGAGGCTCGGGGAGGGAGGGGAAAGCGGGAAATTGTGGCGCGGTTACATATAATTGGATATTTCAAACATCAGCAATTTGCGTAAGCAATCATTTTGGCGGGCAGGATGACTCGCTATTTTTGACCATGAAACCTCAGACCTCCCAAGGAAGGGAAAAAAACACCAGGTGGCCCATTTCTCACTTGGACATGTTTGGGCTTGTCAAGGCTCGTCGTCCTTGGCTGTCTCCATATTTTTGGTCACTCTGTCCCTTGAGGGGCCTGATATTTTTATTATGGCTATTCTCAGCAAGTTGTTGGTGGTCTTTGCTGAGTTGTTTTTAATTTTTATTCCCACAACTGCACCTATACTTCTTTGAAGGATAGCAGTGTTTAACAAATGTCGGTGACACATTTCTTACATTATTATTGCTAGTAAGTAACAATTATTTCCTGTTTTCAGAGGAATGATAATCGAAAGTCCTGATCAGTCAGTGCCTACGCTCATATCAAACCTGCTTCCAACAAAGTTAACTTGGGTAGAATATTAATATCATTTACATAGGCTCTGTATAAGAGTGTGTTGTTGATGTTTTTCATATTTCAAAATCTTGCTGTCCAACTAATACATAAAACAATAAACATAAAGCTCTTCATCTAAGTATTGATTTCTCTTTGGCTTTGATCACAAACAGCCCTGGAGAGAATATTTAACTTAGGAATTTTCAGCTAATGCACACAGTGAATTCTGCTTGTTTGTATTAGTCTACAATTAGGTGTCTTAGGTTGTCTCTAGATAGCCGGGCAGTGGTGGCACACGCCTTTAATCCCAACACTTGGGAGGCAGAGGCAGGTGGATCTCTGAGTCTACAGAGTGAGTTCCAGGACAGCCAGAACTACATAGAGAAACCCTGTCTCGGGGAAAAAAAAAAAAGTTGTCTCTAGATACACTGCTTTCATAAAAACTTACGTATTTGGGGGAAAGAGTTTGTGTGTGTGTGTGTGTGTGTGTGTCTAAAATTGTGACTTTGGTTATCCCTTGACAGTATATAAACTCAGCAAAATCTACATGTGTATATAGTTTAAAGATGAACTTTAACATGCTCTGAATGTGAGATATAGTGTGAATTTGTATCACAAATAACTTAAAACAAAATTTCTGCATCATACCTTATTTACTGAAATTAGTTTCATAGGATTTAGTCAGTGAGCATTCCAGATAGGCCTTCCACATTGATTGAAGGTAACCTTATCAATCAACCCTCTTAGTTAGGGTTTTATTGCTGTGAAACCATGACCAAAGCAACTCTTGTAAAGACAACATTTAGTTGGGGCTGTCACAGGTTCAGAGGTTCAATCCATTACCATAAAGGTGGGAACATAGTAGCATCCAGGCAGGCATGGTGCAGGTAGAGCTGAGAGTTCTGTATCTTCATCTAAAGGCTGCTAGCAGAATATTGGCTTCCAGGCAGCTAGGAGGAGGGTCTAAAAGCCCACACCCACAGTGACACACCTACTCCAACAAGGCCACACGTCCAAATAGTGCCACTCCATGGACCAAGCATCTTCAAACCATGACATCTCACTATGTTTACATTCCTGCTGCCATTCTACTTGTATGCTCGTTCAAGCTCCATCCAGGGATCGGTTCTGTGTTTAGGACAAGGTATGCAAAAAGTAATGTAGCCAGCCTAAGCTAAAGTACAGAGCATCTTGCAAAGAAGACATAACAGAAGACATGGAAGTCTCTCTCTTCAGTGAATCTTCTTTCCAGTACCTAATTGGAAAACTTACCTGTCATTCTTGTTGTAGTTTTTATTTTATATGCTTTTAGTTTACATTCTAAACTTTTTTATTAATTATTATTACATATATACATGGGAATTTATGAATACAGTCTGCTAATTTCATTTAGTATTACTCATGTGTGTTCAGGACTCACTGGTTGGGATTGCAGCAATCAAGGGCTCGTCCCTGGAGCAGACTGGCTCCCTCGCTCAGCAGTCATTGATTGCCTGTAGCTCTTCATTTAGGGGTAGGCCTTCTGAGATTTCCCCCATCCATGTTGGCATGTTACCTGGTGGTGTCATTTTCTAGCTCTTGCTTAGGCAACCATACTATTGAATTTCATGGGTTCAGCTTCCCTGTCACATATAGACACTACTATCTTGCAACAGGCTTCTGGTCTTCTGGCTCTTCCACAATGTTTTGAGCCTTCAGTTTAGGGGTTGTGTTGTAGGTGTGTCAGTTGGTGTTGAGGACTCCATGGTCAGTTGATCTCTGCATGTGGACCAGTTGTGCCTTTCTGTTAATGGTCTCCATCTAATGCAAAAGGAAGCTTTGAGGAGGGGGAAGAGTGAACTATTTTTCTTTTCATTCTGTGTCTTCATATAATCATTGTAGTCTTTTAGGTGGTTTCATGGTAAGACTAGTTTTCTATTGAAGTTGATCATCCAAATATCCTTCCACTTCTCTCCAGAATCTGCACCATCCTGGGATTGTAAATCTGGAATGTATGTTTGAAACCCCAGAACGAGTCTTCGTAGTGATGGAAAAGCTTCATGGAGATATGTTAGAAATGATTCTGTCCAGTGAAAAAAGTCGACTTCCAGAACGGATTACTAAATTCATGGTCACACAGGTATTTTAACTCTACCTTGAAACCAGTAAACCTAAGAGAAGTAAACAGCACCATTTTTATATATTGGGAAACTAAGGACTTGTAGCCTTACTAAAAGTGAGACAATAATACTTTTAGCTACATCTTGATTAAATATACTGGAGTTTGAAATTATTATACATTTCAAGAAGTCACATTGAAGTTTGGATGATTTTCTAGGCATTAAAAAAAGGCGCTTTGCAGGAATAGGATCACTTTTAAATTCTATTTTTATTTTATGTGTATGAGTGTTTTGCCTGCATGTATGTATATGTGTGTGGTGTCTGTGGAGGTCAGAGAGGTCAGAGGAATTGGAGTTCAAACAATTTGGAACTGTCTTGTGGGTACTGGCAACTGAAGTTGGTCCTCCTCAAGGACAACCGATACCCACACCCCCCATGCCATGCATCTTCTCTCCAGGTCGTGGGTCAGCATGTAAAGGCAGGGGTTTCAGGGTGGTGTCTTCATACCTGTTTGTCATCTTACTTTGCTCTCAGTTGCTCCTCAAAACCTTTTCCCTAACAGATACTTGTTGCCTTGAGGAATCTACATTTTAAGAATATTGTGCACTGTGATTTAAAGCCCGAAAACGTGCTGCTTGCATCTGCAGAGCCGTTTCCTCAGGTGAGACATTCTCAGACCCTGATTAAGAATTAATGACATTTACAAAAGTTCCTCCTGATATAAAATAGAGCTCTGTGTATACACCATTGTAGTCTCTGACTGCTAACTTGAGTCAGTAGCTAAATCATTTAAATCTAGACTTTATTATTATATTGCTGGTATTTATTAACACTTTATCAGACTTAAATAGGTCTCAAGAAACAAACTTTGGGTTTTCTTTGCGGGGGGATTCCTAATTATATATGTGAGACTTAGAACCATACATTTATTTAAGTTCTTCAAATATCTGAATAGAGGAGTCACCAAATTCAGTTATGTCTCAGTAAATTTTATTCATACGACATGTGATATATATTAGAAACAGCAAGCAGTATTTGAATATGCTTCCAACTCTCTTCTGCAGCAGTTGTTTGCACTGTGGCTGTGTAGACACCAAATCCCTCTCTGAGTTTACAGTTCCTAAGCCACTTTGTCAATCAGAGCATTGTCTCTGGGAAGTACTTAGCATTTACCTATTGTGCATAGCTGCAATCACTAATGACCAAAACATAATGTAAAATGATGGAACAAGGTAAGTGTTCTGAGCTTTGCTAAGCCCATCATACATCCAGAGAACATGGTTGTGGTCACATTCACATGTAACCTTATTCAGCTCTGTACCAACTAGAGGAGTAGTATGTCAGCATAGAAAGCACTTACAGCTCAGAGGTTCTCTACTGTTCATGTCATCTATAAGTCTTGTTTACTTACCTGCTGACGTGTCAACAGATACTCTAAGATTAAGCAAAATGAAGGATGCTTTGAAATACTGTAGCAAAACATTTGAATACTTTTATATGTCTAGACATTGAGGATTTAAAACAGAAAAACAATTTTTCAGAAAATAGAAAAGGGGTATATTGCTCAGGGTTCTCTAGAGTCACAGAACTTATGGAATGTCTCTATATTTAAAGGGAATTTATTGTAATGATTTACACAGTCTGAGTCCAGCTAACCCAAAAATAGGCAGCTGTGAATGGGAAGAACAAGAATCTAGTAGTTTCTCAGTCCCACAAGGCTAGTTGTTTCACCTGGTTTTCTGTATAAGCTGGAATCCTGAAGATGTAGGTTCCAACAGACGTGCTGGCAAGTAAGTGCAAGCAGGTGAAGAGTGAATTTTCCTTCTTCCAGTGTCCTCATGTAGGCCTCCAGCAAAAGGTGGGCCCAGATTAAAGGTGTGTACCACCGCGCCTGGATATGGGGTTTGCTTTGTCCCAGGCTGACCTTGAACTCAGAGATCTGCTTGCCTCAGTCTCCTGGGATTAAAGGCATGTACTACCTTGCCTGGGCCTCAGCTTTTCATGGCCACTATGCCTCAAGATATCCGGGTCAGAAGCCTGTGTCTTCTAGCCTAAAGATCTGGATCATAGGTGTGCACTCCATTTCTGGATTGTAATTTATTCCAGATGTAGTCAAGTTGACAACCAGGAACAGCCATCACAAGGAGTCCTTACAAGTAATTGAAGATCAGCATCCTCCATCCATTTCATCAGAACAACAAAACTGGATCCTTGTTCCGTGACTCTGGCTGCCAGTTTACGATAGAGTACAGTTGTTTTGAAAATAAGTGCTAGGATAGCTCTTCATACTGCTGTAGTATCACAGAGCTACAGTGTATCTGTCTGCCTCTCGGAAAATGGCATTTTAGTGTGCCTGTCTATAGCTGTTTGCATATAGTCAGCACCTTTGGCTTAAGCGCACTAAGCATATCTAGAGATGGGTATTGATACATTAATTAATAAGCTTTTACATATTCAATTTCCAGGTGAAGCTGTGTGACTTTGGGTTTGCCCGCATCATTGGTGAGAAGTCGTTCCGGAGGTCAGTGGTAGGGACTCCAGCCTACTTAGCCCCCGAGGTCCTCAGGAGCAAAGGCTACAACCGGTCTCTAGACATGTGGTCGGTGGGAGTCATTGTCTATGTGAGCCTCAGTGGCACATTCCCATTCAATGAAGATGAAGATATAAATGACCAGATCCAAAATGCTGCATTTATGTACCCACCAAATCCATGGCGAGAAATCTCCAGTGAAGGTAAAAGAGAATTTTCAGGTTTTCACCTTTAGTCTGAAATCTTTGTGATCAAAATCATTCTGTCTCAGATGATGCTCCAATGTTATAGAGATGATGTGTGGGTGACTGTCCAGGCCGCCAGAAACGTCTAAGTTTCAATAGTTTTGGAAGCTGCTTGCCTTGTACTTCCTTCATAGTCAAGCAATATTTATTCCTCCTCAGGTCTCTAATGGGGTTGAAAACCAGATAATCTCACAATTAAGCTTAGATTGTTAGGAATTAGGAAAATGTTTTAAGGTCTACTCAAGTTAAACAGAAAAGGATTTAAGTACAGAACTGTAACTCACAAAGATAGTATAAATAATAGAGTACTTTCTCCAAAATCTCCAAGTATAAGTGGACTAGACATTGTGGATGTAATTCTTACCTGATATTGTTAATATTGTATATAGTTTATTAATGTATAAAAAGAAACTTATTGGAGTAAGGGGGAAATATAAAGAGAATCTCTTATAAGCATTACCTGTCAATAAAAAAGCCAATGGCCAATGAGCTGAGGCAGGAAAAGGGAGGTGGGGCACTAGTAGGAAGAAGGGATTCTGGGAAATAGTAAGAGATAAGGGAGAGAGTGGGTGGAGCTGAGAGAGACAAAACAGGAAATAGACCAAGAAGATGGAGGTAAACCAGCAGGGAGATACTGAGGAGATGCTAAGGAAGAAGTGGGCCGGAGCTGAAGGAGAGGTAACTGACCACATGGTAGATACTGAATAGTTTAAATGAGTTAAATAAGTTAGGAGCCAGTCAGGGAACGAGCCAGCGCTTACGGCCTAGGCACTTGATAACTAATTAGGCTCAGAGTCATTATTGATGGGAACTAAGGGAAGGGAAGAAAAAACAGATTTAAACATATTTTTTACACATGGTTACATATAAACAACCCTGAAAAAAGCATGTCATTGCTACTTAATTAAATAAAAGGCTCTTAGCATTAGGAAAAAAAAAACAATCATTCTGTCTCTTCATCTCCCTGAGTTAGTACCAGTCTTCGGGCACTCTATTGTATTTAGTTTCTTATTATTACTATTTTTTATTTTTGAGACAGATTCTCACTGTCAACTGTAGCCCTGACTGACTTAGACCCCACCATGTAGACCAGAATGGCCTTGAACTCAAAAAGATCTGATTGCCACTGCCTCTCAAGTGCTGGGATTAAATGTGTGTGCCACTGTGCAAAGCCAAGTACTCTACTTTTAAACTGTTTTGTCTCTTATGCTAACACTTGAGCGTTTTGTCTTCAGGATATGTTTTGTTTCTAAGTATTCCAGTCATCAGAACAGCATTGTAAACTGTTTACATAGTAATTTATGTAATTTATACCTAGAATGAGCTTTTGTATCTGCAGTTCATTTTTTCAGTCCTGATCTCTTACCAGGAAGCTTCCTGCTGTAGTCTTGATGACTAGTGAAGGCTTTTCAGTCTGTGATGCCTCCTTCTGTACATGTCAACAATGAGCCAGGGCTGTTGGCATACACTAGTAATCTCAGTATTGTGGAGGTTTCAAAGCTTTATACAAGATCTTTTCTCAGGAAGGGGTGGGAGAAAAGACAGGGAAAAGGAGTGAAGTTGGGCCTCTTTAATTACTGATGGAGTATGCCCTCCTTAGAAAACAGTTCTCCCATGTAGTAAATGTAGTACTGAGGACTGTCTCCACTGGGTGTAGTAGCCCTTGGAATAAATAGATCTTTTCTATCTTTCCATATGTATTGGGCCAGATGACAGTTTGATAAATACCCCCACTAAACTGGAAAGAGAGTCAGGAACAGCAGAAAAGCCAGCAACCTGCCAGGTTCACTCTAGGGTCAACTAGAAGGTTTCGATGTTCACACTCGGAGCTTTAAGGGCTTGTGGTCCATACACCTCTCCTGTCATTCACTTGTCCATGTCCTAGATTCTCACTCAGCAAGTGGGATAAAAACAGTTCTGAAATTGATCAGACTGAACACTGGTGACAGAACAGATAAGGATTTGAAGAATTTGAAACTCAGAAGTTAGTAAAGAACTTACAGAAAGTCTTTGCACATTGAGACAAGGCTTTCATTACAGTCTGGGATCAGTATACAGTTTTGTGGTTGGCTTGGTTTCCGAGTAGAATGTGCTAATGTCAGTGTAAGTACCAAATCACCCATAGCCTGTTTGCTAAAACCAACTGTATGACCTTTTGCTGTTCTCTCCACTTCATTCTGAGGATATCTGTAGAAGAGTGACTTCTGCCACTTTTTCACACCATGTCAGGGGAGAGCATTGTGATATCATTGAAAGAGGAAACCCTATCTAGAGCCAGTCTATTTTGTTCATCCTCAGGTAACAGTAATGAATACTTAGCACCTGTGTGCTAAACACATGCTAAGCTTTTATATTAAGCTGATCTCATCTTCCTAACAGCTTCATTGTGTAGATGAGGAAATAGATACAGCAAAGGTTAGCAACAGACCATGTCACACTGTGGTGTAGCATACATCAGCCTGGCAGTCTGGCTTGAGTGTGTGTATAACTGCACTGACTGCCACCTTAGTAACAAAAAGTTGGCATTCATACTTATGACAGGAAACATTTATGGGTCACTTCTGTGTGTTCAGTTCTGTATACTTGAGAAGCAGATTTTCTCCACGGCATCTTTACATGAGTCAATCTGCTCTCCTGCCGTCAGAATCACAGGTTTAGCTTCAGTTCCCCAAAACTCATATGTATAATTTTGCTTTTCATCTAGCAATTGATTTGATAAACAACTTGCTTCAAGTGAAGATGAGAAAACGTTACAGTGTTGACAAATCTCTTAGTCATCCTTGGCTACAGGTAAAAAAAAAGTACTCTGCATCCTACTCTCCTGTGAGTTTGTCTTTGCTGATGAAACCACTCTAGGAGCAGCAAGATGAGCGCATGGCTTGGGATAATCTAGGCCCTCAGTAGTCATTATCGTGCTATGGCATGGGCCTCTGCTCAGGGACTCAGTCAGTGTTGATAGGCAGTTAAACGCCCAGGAACAGAAAATATGACTTAATTAGCCTTTCATAACTACTTAGCTGTTTGTGTATTTTTAAAAGTTAACATGGTACACTGTTCAGTATATTTTACTTTAAATGTCCACTAAAAGTCTTTTTTATGTTTGGCCTGGATCCTCCATGAATTAAGACCAAAAGTCCACATTTGAGAGTGAGCAGAAGCTGTATATTCTGTAGGAAATGGAGGGTAGAGCTAACATTAAACAACTCACCTGGGCTGTTCAGTATGTTAGCCTGATAATAGACTTTAGATTTTAAGATTAATGTTGCCAACTTAAAATGCTGCAGTTAGAACTTGGGATAGGAGTTGTCAGTTGTGTAACTGAAGTTATAAACAAAAAGAGTCTGTTGGTATATTGTCTGTTTTATGGTTCATGATCATTTTCTTTTCCCAGGACTATCAGACTTGGCTTGACCTCAGAGAATTCGAAACTCGAATTGGAGAACGTTACATTACACACGAAAGTGACGATGCTCGCTGGGAAATCCACGCATACACACACAATCTCGAGTACCCAAAGCATTTCATTATGGCCCCCAACCCAGATGACATGGAGGAAGATCCTTAGTTATCAGTGAGCTAACCTCAATAAGGAAGGCTTTCATTTCAAGAATGGATACTATGCTGCATGGCTGTTGCTCTCTGCAGACTATCACTGCAAGGCAGCAGCAGCATGAGGAAATAGAAGGACTTGGTGGCATCAGTTCTGTAACTCATAACAAGCAGGTACATGAAGGGAAACAGTAATAAAATCAAAATGGAACTTTTATAAATTTTTATAGCATAAGCAATAACTGGTTCTGGAATTTTTCCTAATCCTTCACATCAGCACAATGTGAATCAGCACTTAATTTATCCCTCCTTTATCTCTCCTTTGCTGTTATTACATCATCTGTTTTAAAGGCCTATGACTGTCTAGTTATTGCTTATAAGGTTGATTACTCAACAGCTTTGCAGTTAAGCAGTAACCATGAGGCTAACAACATATGGATTGCTGTAAGGACTTTTAGTATTTGTCCACTGTTGGAGACATTGATTCTTCCTGGACCCCTATAAACAGAACACTGTACTGCTGACCTTTGCTGTATGTATCTTTAAATATGGTCTGTATGACATAACAGTTGTCACCTTTTCCATGTTGTAGTAGTCACTAGGATAATTGAACAATTGGTGTTACAATGAATAGAAATAGCTGGTCATCACTCTGCTCTGCTGGTGAACACATATGTTCTCAATTGACACCATCATGATACAGCATGCCAACAGTCAGTGGGCAGAGCTCTGCATTTAGCTAATTTATCCTCACCTGGAGTTGAATAATTTATAGACAAAATTATGTACTAAAGAGGAAAGCTAGTGCAGGGTCAGTAAATGTCCCTGTACAACAAGCAGTATCTTTTCCTTCTTCCTTAGCCTTTGGGGGATTTACAAATATCTAGTGTTGCCGGGCGATGGTGGCGCACACCTTTAATCCCAGCAGAGGCAGGCGGATTTCTGAGTTCGAGGCCAGCCTGGTCTACCGAGTGAGTTCCAGGATAGCCAGGGCTACACAGAGAAACCCTGTCTCGAAAAAAACAAAAAAGCAAAAAAACAAACAAACAAAAAAAACCAAATATCTAGTGTTTTTAAATTAGCATTGTATTTTGAGCAGTTTGAAGGAGTGGTTGAAGTCAGACATGAAAGTTCAGTTTATTGAGGTGGGCCCTTATTACCAGTACAGCAGGTGAAGGAAGGGTAAGAACGTCTTACCCTTCAGCCCCAGCAGCCAGCTGTTTCATAGTAGTTATTAATACAGGTTCAGTGTCCCTAGCTGAGCTGCTTTACACCAGGAGGGTTTCAGTTTTCCAGATACTGAAATGTTTGCAGACTGGGTGAGCATCCCTGGGTTAACAAATCTGCAATCCTCTAAAAAACTTAACAATTCGGTGTACTTCAGATTTCCACATTAGTGATGTCCCCAACTGTGCTTTACCTAAAGAGAAGGATCCAGGATCATCCTCTGGTAAGAAATATAGTAGTTGCTGTTTTCTTATTCCTCACTAGTCACCAAAAACAGGTTTTTCATGTTTATTCTTTTCTCTGCTAAGAACAAAAATTTGGAATCAGAAAACCTGGGTTTAAGCCTTAGTATCTTTATTCTGTAGATCTGTTGGGCTGACAGGTGACAGTTTGTCTGAGCACTTAGTTTCTCAGTCTGTAGAGTGGACACCATAAATTCCTCCTTCTGCCTTCCTCCATGTGGCTGTGAAGATTGTGTGACTGCTTCTGACAATCTGGAATGCCAGGGTCATCGCTTACCACTGGCTCTGAGATGACAAAGGAAGAGCTGTGTGTGAACAGACCAAAACTAAGTGCCGTCCCAGATGAGGAAGCAGCTGCAGGCATCTGTCCAAAATTAAAAATGTCCTCGAAGAAACAGAAACATTAGGGCTGCCTCTGTTGTAAATGTTCATGCTTTGAACTGTCCTCACGATAGCCACATAGCTAAGCACACAGTTAGCTGTTAAAGTGCATTGAGTTTACATATGGATTGAGACCCAGGCCTATATTCCAAGTCCCTTAACCGTCCCAGCCATCGACAATGTATTTCCAGAAGACCTCCCAAACTGTCTCTGTGGTTGTTCTCATACAGCAGTTGTGAAGAGTAATTTTAAGAAACTTCTAAGAAAGAATTTTTCCATTTTTGCTAAATCTGCTTGACCAGTATGTACAAGATGGGGCTATTGAATGTCACTAGGCAGCCCACTGTGGCTTTACTGTGGGAGGTGAAAACTAACTAGAGTGATTGCTGGTTTGCTTACTTCTACAGTCAGACTTTACAAGCCATGACATGAATTGCACTCTGTTTTGTTGGAGCCCTGTGCTGTTTAACAGAGACTGTGAAGGCACTGTCAGAGTCTGGAGTTGAGTAACCACTCCACTGTTTAACCTGCATTACTTCTGTCCTTGTCTTAAAACCAAGCTGTGTTTGCATAAAATGTAATTGTTTCTTAGAGACATGTGACAGTTTTCAAAGTAGTGTATAATGACACTGTTTAGTACATTTTATATTTTTTGTTACATCCCACTTTTTGTAAATATTCTTAAAACTTGATAATAAAATGTATTTCTCTATTACCATACTTCCCTATGTGAAAACCTTAGACCATCTCTAGTATAGGGATCTCAAGAGTTTTATTTGGCTATAATATTTTCCCTGGGCCTGAGTAATAGGACAATTTTGAGAATACTGACGAAAAAACACATGAAGCAGTGGCTATAGAGATAGAAGAGCAGAACCGAGCAGTGAAGAAGGGTGTAAGGCTGGGAGCATAGGGCTGGGAGCATAGGGCTGGGGGAATGGCTCAGGAGATAAGGACCTGCTGTACAAACACAAGAGCTTCAGATTGGATGCTAAGCACCTATGCTGCGCCTGTGACCCAAGGAAGACATTGCTGCAGAAGGAGCAGAGGTGAAGTCTTTGGTAAAATTAAAGAGGTATGAGAGTTCAGAGAAAGATGCTGTTTCAAAAACAAAGTTGGAGAACAATAGAGGAAAAAAAAAACACCAGCTATAAACCTTCACATGTAAATGTAATGCCCTACATGTGGTCACAGAGTCCATACTAAAACCATAGGTGCTGTGGCTGAAATGTACATAGACCATAACACACCAATTAAATACGGCCTCATTTCTTCTGTCCTTACAGACTAAGACACAGAATGATAACGCCATTCTCAGCTAAGCAGAAGCAGGAATAAATAAATCAGTGACATACCACTCCACCAATGACTTTACAATGCAGTTAAACCATAGGGCTGAGACACGGCTAATACCATTTCTGTCTAAGGTCCTCATAGGATCGTTCCCAAGATTGCCCATTTACAGTACTATAGCAAAGTTCTACAGACCAAGTTAATACAGAACTGAAATTGTGTATTTATCTGAAAATACAACAGAATGAGCTTAGCTTAGGAAATTGTTCCTCCTAAATAGTTAACATTACTCTTAGTTCTTACTTCAGTAAAAGTCAGATTTGCTGCAGTTTTTTTTAACTATAACTTTTACTTATTACTTCTCTAAAATGTTTGTTATCAGTCTTTCCTTTCATCATCCACAGAAGTGTATGGAACCCTTCTGAATCCTGCTTCCAGAGTGGTGAACTGCTGGCTTCTTCCCAGTCACTCTTCCTTCATCTGTGCACACCACAGAACAGAAAACTATGTCTATACTGGCTTATTCAGTTAATTATTTCCTTCAGCACAGACAGGATCTTAACTCCAGAAACTTACATCTGACTTCTTCCATTTCCAGAACCTAAGAGCGCCTTCTATTGGAACACACTGCTTTTTGCCCTTTGAAAACATCCAGATCTGTTGACTTGGATCACTGGAAATGGGCATTTATCTTATTTCCAGTTTCTAACAAACCAATCAGTGCTCATGTGTTTTTAAAAACCAAATTGAGCCAGGCAGTGGTGGCACATGCCTTTAATCCTAGCACTTGGGAGGCAGCGGCAGGCGGATTTCTGAGTTTGAGCCCAGCCTGGTCTACAGAGTGAGTTCCAGGACAGCCAGGGCTACACAGAGAAACTCTGTCTCGAAAAACAAAAACAAAAAAGCAAACAAAAAAAAACAAAAAAAAGCAAATTGAAATACAGTAAGTTGATTAAGTAAACAGTTATACCAAGAGTTACTTATAACCTTTAATATTCTACCATTTTGATTGTATTTATATATAAAACACGCTATTTTTATTGACTGAAAAGATATTAGTTTGAATACTTATGTAACCTTCAATATGCAAAGTGAATTTCTTTTATTTTGATTTTCAAGGCCTACTGAGGAATAAAAAGTCCAAGCTGAAATATCACTGCCAAACAAGTTCATCAAACCCAGCTACAGAGGATGTGGGGGGTTCTGACTGGCAGGCATTCCTTTCTTGACCTCCCCCATGAAGTCTCTGATGAGGTAGCAAGGCAAAGAAGTGAAATCTTTCTCCCATCTTCTGAGGATTCATTAACATATCATACCCCCGAAGGAGCTGCTGCTTCATGGATGGCTCACTTGCTTTATCCAAAAGAACCTGAAAGGAGAAAGGCCTTTAATGAAACAAACATCACCAGAAGAAAGAATACCCCAGTGCAGCACTAATGATGTAAATGATCTAGTACAGCAGTTCCCCAGATGTGATCACAGCATCTTATAACTGTAGAATGCTGAGTTCCAAATGTGTGCATCTGCATCTTTAGCAGATATCCCAGGTGATCTGTTCTGTAACAAGTTACGTGTCCTTGGAAGAGGAGTTATAAATCCATACCCATGAACGTGGTTTTCTTGGGAGTCTCAGCCTTACATACAAGTTTGGCAAGCTGTGCTACACCCAGGCTCTCAATAGTGCAGAAACTACGCTGGGGCCTGCTCGCTCCAACAGCATTAAAGCCAATAGAGCTCAACTTAAATAATTTTGAAATTAAGATATTCAGTGTGAGTGAGATAAACCATTACCTTCAGCCGGACATCAATGCCCATGTTTTTTAGAAATGTTCGTTGTTCCACTGGACCCAGAGAGGCTACTTTTCCTTGTGCCATTCTGCGAAGGTAACTGAAATCCACATCAGCTGTCAGGTCTGCTGTTCCAGGAGCAGCCAAAACGTCATGAAGCTGGTGTCCGTAAAACCCCTTGAGGAAAAAAGAACAGTTTTTACTGTTTTAGTTAACATTATTGAGAGTACAGAAAGGATATCCTACTAATCCATTTTTTACATTGTCAGTGTTTTAAAGAATGTCCTAAGTCTGTGGTTTAAACCCTATGCAGTAACATCCTTTCTTCAAAAAAAAGTAACACATTTGGAAAACCCAGTAGAATATATGAGGTTGGAATGCCTGACTATGTTACCTTTTAACATATAGCTATTTAGCAGTCCCATTAATGCTGTGGGCAAGTTCTGGCTATTAGAGCCTAGGTAGTTTAGTTAACAAAGCCTGAGAATATGGTGTGTGCTCCATGCAGAGCTGCTCTACCATAATCCTAAAGGGAAGGCTAGAGAACAATCTTCCAGTTAAGAATTCCTTTTTGTTTGTTTTGTTTTCATTTTTCAAGACAGTTTCTCTGTGTAGCCCTGGCTGTCCTAGAACTCACTCTGTAGACCAAATGACCTTGAACTCGGAGATCCATCTGCATCTGCCTCCCAAGTGCTGGGACTAAAGGCGTGCGCCACCACGGCCCAGCAAAAGTCCCTAACAGTAATAGAGTTAGAAAGAAAGAACCAATGATCTAAAAAATGAGTAATAGCCTCTGGCTAAATGTATTTCAGTTAGAGACTATTCAATAGTTAAATAGTCATATTTAAAGAACATTTCAAAAGAATGTTTTGGAAGGGCGAAAGAAAATATCTGGAAAGAAAAATATGTTAAAACAGTTTGCAGTAGCTAGGTTAAACATGCAAAGTAGCTTTTTTTTTTTTCAAATGAAGGCAGGGTTGAAACAATGTGAAGACAATCTTTCTCAAAATTTATATTATTCCCAGGCTCAATGCATATCCATGCTCTGTGCTAAGAATGACTGTAGGATCTGAAATTATGGGTAGTTATGACAGCATAATTAACATTATTTTTAAAAAAATGAATGCAACAAAGTTAGACACCATAAAAGCTAAGCTAAGACAACTATTCCGTGAACTTCAGCTCTAACACAGAGCTGCTGATTAAAGCATGCCCTGTCTGACACATACTCTGAAGGTGTCCGTCTTTGTTCCATCGTGACCATAGTCTGCAATCAGGGCAGCTCCTCCAGTTGATGCAATGCGCTGGGACAGCTCTTGGATGATAACCCCAGCATCGGGACATACTTCCACATGCTCCCTTCTTTCATCACGCTGGTGAGGGAAGAGTTAGACTCAGTACGTCACTCAGAGGACCTGCTTCCTTAGGGTCTTTCACATTTCTACAGTGAACATTTCTTAGTTATAATGAATTCAACTTGAATATGGGCTAGCCAGTGTTTCACATGACACCCTTTTAAGTATACAGAACTTGATTCTTTCAAGGTGAACATTAACCTGTTTTTAAAACTGAAAACTTGAGGAAGTTCTTAATTAAGATCTCTGGGGTGGAGAAAAGGAAACAGATGGAAAGCTGAGATGTTCTGAGAAGCAAGTGCTATTTGGGAACCTTTAAACAGCCCTGGAGCTAACGGGATGGCTCGGCGGTTAAGAGCACTGGACTCTCTTCCAGAGAACTTTGGTTCCGTTCCCAGCACCCATGTGGCAGTTCACAACCATCTATAATCCCAGTGTCAGGGGAACCATCACCCTTACACAAGCATGCAGGTGAAACACCAATATATTAAATAAAAACAATTTTTTTTAAAAAAGTTAAGTGCAGTCCCAGAATAGCTCTGGGAACCATTCCTTAAAAGTAAGAGAAAACAGCAGTTAATCTGTTCACAGTGTGGGGTCAAAGGTAGGACTGGGTTTGAGTATAACCCAACAGCTGACAGTGATGACAGTAATGAAAACACAGAACACAACATGCTGCTCAGGATCTCAGCGGTTACCACAGTACATAGTCTTCACACAGGGAAGATTCCCTGTTAAGAAAATGATGGCATCATTCATCATCTGGGAACAGAGGAGGGCACTTGGCTGAGTAAATGCTTACAAGCCCCATCTTCCTACTTAACATGATGACACATGAGAGACAACGTAGCCCATGGGACTACCACTGTGACCACCACCACAAAGCACCTCATGTGCTGTGCTCCAGCTTCCACTGGAAGAAGTTAACTGGCAACTAGGAAAACAGACTGGACTATTCTGCAGCAACATAAGCTTAGAAGAAAAGCTCAAATTCATACTTGTATGAAGGCTTCTGCAGGGGTCGCACAAGGTGCCAAGACGAACCTCAGTTTATCAGAAACTTGTGGGTCAACATCAACAAACACTTCTCTCCATCCATGTGGTGTTTTCTAAAGAAAACAAATAAAAATAAGTATTCGCAAGCACTTAAAACATGATGTTCTAATGGAGAAATAACAAATAGAGCTATAGGAGGATCAAACAGCACAGAGCTGCACAGAGACGAAGTCACACCCAGCATGAGCAAGCAGGTACTTCTGTGACAAATGACTACATTGCATGAGA